GTTTATCATGTCTGTCTGTCTCATAGTGTTTCTGTCTGTCTCTTTCGCAGTGGGTTTATCATGTCTCTCTGTCTCATAGTGTTTCTGTCTGTCTCTTTCGCAGTGTGTTTATCATGTCTGTCTGTCTCATAGTGTTTCTGTCTGTCTCTCTCGCAGTGTGTTTATCATGTCTTGTCTTTCTTGTAGTGTTTCTGTCTGTCTCACAATGGGTCTCATTTACTAATAATTGTGTAGATTATTTGTATTTATACACACATTCAATCTTCTCACAAAAACTTTCTGCCTAATTCACAACACGTGTGTACGCACATAAATTTGTTAACCTCGTCCAAATGTAAGTGAATATGGAGTGTTCTAAATGAGCGGCCGCGCACGTGAGGTTAGTCATTAACACAAATCACGCCCAAACCATCTCCATATAAGGGCTTTCCACACAACCTTTCCATTACAGCATTTCGTCACTCTCATCGAATATGCTTAACGTAACCCCATATGCAGCTCTTTACATAAGCGTTCTCGCCAGATCCTTGGTCAATGCCAAGTGCACAGTCCTCAAAACCAGTTCAAACACATAAACACATCTAAACAGACCCAGTTTACAGACCTCTCATTTGCCAGCTGTACATACTGTACTTACATACCTCGCAGCTCGAGCTATAGGCTAACTCAGCTTTTCTTACTCTTTTACTGTATATGAAGTATTTTTAAATATTTTTAAGATAAACATAAATTTCATTGTAACTATATAGTATATATAAATGTATATAGCTAGCCGTGTTAAGATGCAATATTTTTTACCCTGATTATTAAGTTCACCCAGAGTATGTGCTTTTTGCATACATGCTTACAGTTATTCCTATATTTTTCATAAATTTAGAATTAATTTTAGTACGAAGGTTTTTAGTGAATCATGATTTGTTTGCAAAAACATTAGTACACAGGTTTCACGCACAAATTTGTTCGTATGCATGCTTAGTGAATGAGACCCTATGTGGCTCGCAATGTCTGTCTATCTGTCTCTCTGTTTCACAATGTTTATCATGTCTGTCTTTCTCAGTCTCGCAATGTGTTTATTATATCTGCCTGCCTGTCTGTCTCTCTCGGTGGGTAGGGGTCTTTAAATAACCATTTATTGTAGTTCTTCTTGCTTGAATTGCAATTACTACTTACTATTTGCTATACAAATTCAAATTTATTTTAGGAATTGAAGTGTAATATAAGCATTCTCAATTTAGTTCTGAATGCTGCCCAGTGCTGGCATCCATAAAGTGCAGGCAAAATATAACGTGAGATGAAGCAGTGCCTCTATATTACTGTGTTTCACTGATCAAGCTGTCAATATGATAGTGTCCACCTATGATGTTCCAAACGCACGCTCAAATCAGCATGAGTGAGTCAAACTGGTGCAAACAGACAAACAAATTAAATAAACACCCACTCAGACATCATCACTTTTGGTCACGTATGAATCGAACAGTTTTTAGCAGATAAATTATAAAATGCACCTCCATGCCTGCCAGCGTAAATACATTGCAGTGTTTACAGATTTTAATTACTAATGATACAGGAAAAAAAGATGACTATTAATAATATAAATATTAATTTTAGAAGTCTACCACACAGTGCTCTTTCTTTGATCTTTAATCTTCCATGAGCAAATAGAGGTGGCTTAAAGTATTTTGCTGTCATCAACAACAAAACGGCACATGAATCTATGTTAGCTTTGAGTGCTCCCATGGAAACTAATAATTCAGAAGACTCAAACCGCTCACAGAGTTGTCATCTCATAATTACGATAATTCTGACACAACATGAACCTGGAATTAATCTCTCACATTCAGATAATGGAGAACCATATTAACTCTCTGAACATGAGACATGTACTTTCACTGAAGAGGAAAGGCATATTAAGTGGTTGGGCACTTTATGAAATGCTCTCTCTCTCTGTCTGCTTGATTGAGGTGTTTTGGTGGGGTTGTCCTCTCATGCATGGCCGCCGGCTGTGGCTGTCAGTCTCACACTGTGGCTGTGATTAAATACGGGACAGCACGGTCTGTATCGACCCCCTCCCCGAACACACAAACACACACTCCTCTCGATGACATATAGTGACGCGTATAATGATAATGCCTGCTGATGATGAAGGGGACAAATGCCTCTGTGCCTCCATCAGCCAGAAAGAGGTCAAGGACGAGTTCCTCTCTAATAAGCATAGGAAAGTCCATACGTTTTCATTTTGACAAGTGTCATTCATCTCATACAGCCTGAGAACTGTGTGGATTGACAGAATCCATTACATCTGATGTACATGTATCCGTGAGCATATGAGGAATATTTGCAACACAGACGCATAACTCTTGTGGTGACACTTGTGTTTCACGGCACTTTCACACATGCATGCAGCATTCAGTTTAAGGACTGTGTGAATAGATGCCTACATAAGTAATCCCTTTATTTGCAGGAATATATGAATCAAGAGTCAGAAATATTGATTTCAAATGGAAAGATGTGTTGTCAGATAGTATTGCTGAATAAATGGCACGAAATGATAGTAGGGCTGGGATATATAAGTAGAAATATGTTTTTTTTTTTCACTTTTATGATGTTTGATGTATTTCTTGATATTTATGTACTTGCTTTCATGTGTAAAATCGGTCATAAATATGACCACAACAAATAAACAATGAACGCATATTGAAAGCGATCATGTGCTTCCTCCATCTTTTGTATGTATACTCGTCTTTCCTCCCTCGCTCATGTCTATGGAACAGATTCTTTGTCGGCCCTGTGTTAAATTATGCATGCATGCTTTACAGCGCGCAACCCCTCTGTCACTCACTCCCTCATCCTTTATATTGACATGTGGCTGAGGCTGACGACAGCTTCTCCTCTCTCTTGTTTTAGGACAGTGATCTCTTGACCTTTAACATCTCGGCACACCACTCCTGGTGGAGCGAGCATGGGCCAGGCTGTATCCGAAGAGAGATCCCCGCCAGCGGAGACCGCAGTGCAGACGCACAGTCCTATATATCCATCATGGGCTGCCTGCTGGAATACCAGTACATAGAGGTCCTGCACAGCAGCTTCCAAATCCTTATCTCTGTAAGTCACTCCAAACACGTACACATACACACACAAACAAATTATATGCCATGTTTTTACTATAGTTTATGGTCTCCCCACACTATATTTAGACTTACTATATTTGTATGTCTGCTTCTACATAGCATAACTAAAAGCATCCCATAATATATGTTTTTCCAGACACGCTTCCATCCTAATGGTGCTTTTTCATTATCTTAGGAAATCATTGGCTGTCTCTCTACACTTAACCAGTCCTTTAAAACTACAGCAGTTTAAAGTGTAGCCTGCACACACTGTGCCTGAGTCCTGAAGCTCTGCTGTTGTGCTGAAGTGGCCCCTTGAGTTGAGGTCTGGCCCGCGCGGCTCCAGGGTTAGTTGGGCAAACTCGGTGGATTATATTCAGCAAGCAGCGAGCAGAAGGACTGTGAGCTCATTTTCTGAATAGGGATTTGTTTTTATTGACTTAAATGCACTGCGCACAATGGCCTCCAGAAGTAGTTGGATTTAAGCCACACTTATAATGTCTGAATTATTGCATTAGATACAAAAAGCTAAATATTAAACCAAGTGGCATCAGCAAACACACATGCAAAATATAATATAAAATAAAATATAATATCATATCATATCATATCATATTCAGATCAAATATTATTTTAAAGAAATGAATGCTTTTATTCAGCAAGGATGCATTAAATTGATCAAAAGTGACCGTAAAGTCATTTTTAATTTTTATAAAAGATTTCTATTTCAAATAAATGGTGAAAAAACTGTTTCAGTTTCCACAAAAACATTAAGCAGCACAACTGTTTGCAACATTGATAATAATCAGAAATGTTTCTTGATCATTAAATCAGCATATCAGAAGGATTTCTGAAGGAACATGTGACACTGAAGACTGGAGGAATGATGCTGAAAATTCAGCTTTGCATCACAGGAATAAATTACATTTGAAAATATTTTCAAATAGAAAACAGGTATTTAAATTGTAATCATATTTCACAATATTACTGTGTTTGTATTTTTGGCCTTCATTACATTATTAATGTAATATTACATTATATTACAGTCTGCATGTCCTTTGGTATTTTCATGCTCATTGACTGAAGGCATATTGCTCACCGTCACACCTAAGTTGTATCTGTTCATGCTTGTTTTCGAGTGTTTGTCTGAGGACTAAGCAAATATCTGTGGAAATGAAGACTGCATGTTAGAGGAGGTGGTAGGGGGGTGTTTCACTGTAGGCTTAGAAGTGCCGGAAGCTTCTTCAGAGTGATGATTATCTGCTCATGCTCCAACAATGAACTGCTAACTTCATGGTGATAGTTGAACAAAGTGGCCTCCAGGAAGTGGGAGCTTAAACACACTCTCCAGTCAAGCTCCTACAGGCTTCTTCAGTGGGAATGCAGAGATTAGTTAGAGGGATACAGATTTTTATCTCCAGTGCCCAAAGTGCTCAGCTTGTGGTCTTGTCAAAATTTGAGAATGAAGTAAGAAAATGTTTAGAAGAATGAGATGAAGGCTAAAGGGCCAAATTAATCTCTTTTTTGTTTAAGTCAAATTACACCACAAAATCAAAAAAAAAGATTAGATTTTTCATTAAGAATGAAATAATTTTTTGGACTATAAAGCCTTTTTTGCATTGTCAGTGCAGAAAAAAAAATAAATCATTACTTTAAAGGAATCTCATTACTCTAAAAATCAAGTTAAAATAATTTCTATGTATTCAGTATATAATTATTATAATTTATATTATAATTAGTATCATGAATTCCGTATAGACTTCTTACCTAATTAATTTTAAAACCCACTGAAGGAAAAAAATGAAAAATATATAATATAAATATATTTACACGATATTTATATAATAATAATAATTATTGTTATTATTATTGGGAGAAATATGACACATTTCTTGACATTTTTCATTAAATTCACGCACGCAACAAGTGGTGGTGGTGGGCAAGTTTGGGAGAGAGGGGCTTGTGTCACCTGTGTGACAGATTGTTTTGTTGCTCAGAATTGAGAGGGCAAACGATAGAGCAAGCGAGTAGAGCCAGATCATAAACATTTCTGATGTGTGTGTGTGTGTGTGTGTGTGTGTGTGTGTGTGTGTGTGTGTGTGACTTCAGAACTAGGTCACTATCAAAAAGACTTCTGCTGTAATGAATAGTCATGTTCTTATGCTTCTGAGAATTTCACCACAGGAGTCACAAGAGGACAGTCAGAGAGTAGAGTAGGACACACACCAGAGATGACAAGTGAACAACTGAAAGAGTCATTAGCAGAGCTACATGTAAATCCCTCCCTCTATGACAACTGAGAGGTGCGTATGTGAGAGCACCATCTGTTTTCCTTATTAGTGTAACTCATAAACATCGCCCTTCAGATGAGACCTATTCTTCTGTTCATCATCCTTCATCACGTTTCTGGGATTACACTTTTAGCCCTCAAAGACTGATTTAGCTTCTTTTTTTTTTTCTTTTTTTTACCATTTTGGTCTGCCGTGATTATTTTTCTTTAAATGTTTTTGCACAAATGCAGTAATTTATTATATTATGAGGACTAGTTTGGCATTATTATTATTATGTTTTTATTGTAATTTTTTTTTTAAGTTTGATAAAAGTTAACAAATTAATGTTCCAAAGTTTAGTAATGGGGTTGCAAAATTAAAATAAAATAATATAATATTTTCGTTTGACCTCCTAAGGTTGATGGTCAACATATTTTAAAGGTTAAGCACCTTCTCTTACTCACAATTTTTTCAAAAAATTTTTTTTTTACTGCTGTCGTAACTAGTATGTGTCTCAAGTGTTTAATTTCTCTGTGCTTTTTCTGTTTGTGTTTTATCAGCATAAGTGGGTGGATGAGTTCATTCCTCTTCCATTTTAGTCTCGCACTGTTTTCCCTATTTTTGTCTCATCTGACATCTCTTTCCTTTCATATTTCAGTTGCTTCTCTCTTCAGTAAAACACTGAAGTCAAGATAAGGGAGTAGCTTCAAGAACAAGAAGAATATCTTGTAAGGATAGTATGGGAATTCATCACTTCCTTTCCCATCATGCTCTCTGCCCCAGGGAGCAACAATAGATGGCTGTATATTCAAGAAACTTTTTAGCTGAGATTCAATCCACACTGAGAATGGGGGGGGGGAGTTAGTGAAGGAGACTTGATTACCATGGTTACTACTACTACTATTACTAATTACTACTACTACTGCTGCTGCTGCTACTACTACCAATAATAAATTATTCTCTAGGGATTGCCATAAGATAGGACTTCAGTTATTTAAGTGCAACATTTTTTAAAACGTTTCAAATGTTAAGAAATCAACCGTTTAAAAATGTATGATTCCTGGGTAAATTCCTGCTCATTTTCCTTTAGCACCCAAACACACTTTAAAAAAACGGTCACGTTCAAACTCTGCAGCGTTATCACAAATTCAGCTTGTTTTACGCCCCATCCAGACTGCTGCTGAGCGCATGTCTGAGACCATGATTAAGAAAAGTTTCACTTCAAAGTGGCTCCCTTCGCTCCCTGCGGCGGTTTAATCACTTCTCATGTGCACACAAATGTAAGTGGATGTTTGATTAGACGTGGCCAGTTGCAAACATCTGAGAACAGTTTGTTTAGCCACTCTGCAGCCATGACAGGCGGAATATTTTTGCCTGGTATTTAATCTCAGATCTGGTGGGTGTGAAGTGCTGTAAGTGTGTTTGCGTGTGTGTTGCAGCGAGAGCACTTTTGAGAAGTGATGTTGAGAGCGCTCTGATTCAGATGTGATACGGCTGTGAATTCTGCCTCCAGGCGACTGAAGTAGAGAAAGAGCCCTGTTGAAAAAAGCAGCATATGCTGGTATGTTTTGAAGCATGGCAGCTGGTTTGAACTGGTTAGTTGAGCTGTTTACGGAGTCTGTAAGAGTGTGTGTGTGCACATATGGAGAGGCACAGCCACACTCAATCAGCTGGACTAATTTCTGTCGCAGCGGGGTGACATTGGCACATAATTAACCTGTCAGAGATCATGTTCATGTGGTGGGTCAAAGCATTAGGTTTTTATGATGTGTGTCCATCTTTCATGTATTTAACAGGCTCTGGATCTGTTTTACTGCAGTCTCTCTTATTATTTCTCTCTCTCGCTCCGCTTTAGCCAGCTGAAACTAAGGTAGATAACGCTACTTGAGAGCAGGTAAGAAATGGAAGTGGATTTTTAGGACTGATCCTCCAGCTGGTGGTGTCCCTTGTAAAGTAGTACGTAGTATCCTTTAGCTTACTTCTAAAAGAGTACTTATTATGGAAATAATATACATAATATACTAAAGTATGATCTGAATATAAAGTTTTTCGAACACGTAATTGCAAGTACGTGAAAATATATTATAGTTAAAATTTTTATGAAATGCAATTAGCTGAACTTAGAGTTTTTTTTATCTTTTTAAAGTCTTTACTATCACGTTTTTTTTATCAATTTAACTTATCCTTGCTACTAAT